GAAGACAACTATCGGATAGAGCAAAACCACAACTAATAATTTGAGAAAATAAAAATGAAGATAAAAGAGACACAAAATTTAAGTGGAAAACCCCTAAAAATTTAGGGTAAAAACCACGGGCAACGGTAGAAGAATTTCACTATGAGAAAATAGGAATTACAACCTCTCTCGATCTATCAAGGAGAAAACTATGATAATTCTCTCTTGATAAAAAGGAGAAAACAACTCTCAAGAAACTCTCTAAAATCTCTCTAGTATTAGAAGAAAACTAGAATGCTTTGGGATGGTTTTGAAGCTAAATGGGCTAGGGTATTTATAGCTAAATCTTAAGGACTTAATCTTGTAAATACCCTAAAGTTTAGTGATTACATTTTGTAATTATACCTTACTAAAATCAACCAAAGTTGGCTGCCCACTTAGACTAAATTAGCAGCCGGCTGCTGCCACAATTATTGACAGATTTGGAGTATACAAAAGGAGAAATCAAAGGTCAAAATATGGAATCTCAGTTGAAGGAAGTAATGATAAAGAACAAGAGGAAGCTGATACATGCGCATTTGTAGCTTTCCATTGCTTAACCAAGTAATTTTAACGACGACCGAGGTCGCTGGGTGTAGTTTAGATTTCGAACAAGAGAATGTTTGATGATGGTACAGTCGTAGATAAGAGTGAAGCTAAAGTGCTAAAAGAAGATATTTCATCTCCAACTCGATGTCAAGAGTCTGAAATTGGTGGAGTGTGGTGATGACACAAACACAAGTTTAGTCAAGTGTTAGAGTTTTTATATGGTGTCATATTTGTTATCATATGGAGTGTTTTCTGTGCTGGTTAGTTGATGATTTGTGGTTTAATGAAAATTTTGGTGATTTTTTTGCTGGGGAGTACTCTTTTCTCCATTTAGTTTTAGGGAGACTTAATAAAGCTCATAGCCTAAGCTTAAAGTTGTATAATTTAATCCTTAAAAAAATACTTTACCTAGAAAAAAAATTAATAAATCATGAAACCCTTCTTTCATTTGCATTAATATATAAACAAAATTAACTTTGTGATATCCTAATAAAATATAAGTCTTAAGTGGCCTCTACATTTATAGGGTTTATACATAATCAATAAATTAATTAAGAAAATTATAAATATATATTATTTTGAAAACATTTAGGTAAAAAGGTAGAAAGATCTCTATACTTTTTGAAAAAAAAATAATATGATCATCGTATTATTTTTTTCTCTCAATGCGGTCTTCTAACTCAAAAAAACAAACTCAATGTGGTCATTCAACCAACGCTTTTTGTCGTTGACCATTACAGTATTGGCGTACAAGATCATGGTATTGACGTGACAGTCCACGGTGCTGATGTGGCAGCCCATCTGTCATGTTAAAGTTACTAATTTAGCCCATCTTCCATGTCACCTATCACATTAATCTTCCACCTTGGATTGTTATGTCAGCATCGTAAACTGTCACGGTAGCATTGTAACTACCACGTTAGCACCGTAATTGTCAATGACGAAAATACGTTGGTCATAGGGCCACATTGGATTTATTTTCTGAGTTAGAGGGTCACATTGATAAAAAATAATAATATGAGGAGCACATTAATTTTTTTTCAAAAGTATAGGGGCCTCTTATACCTTTTCGTCAAAAATTTATGAAATTCTCTATATTTAGATCTTATGCAGAATTTTAAAATAATTATTTATATTATTAAATATATAAATACATATTATTTAAATTATTAAATCCATAACAAATATTTAACGCAAAAAGGTGTTAGATGTCCCTAAACTCTTTAAAAAAAATAATATGGCTCTCGCATTATTTTCCTGTCAATATGTCTAACTCAGAAAACAAATTCAATGTGATTTTTTGTCTAATATTTTCCGTCATTGATTGTTACGATGTTGACGTGGCAATTCATGGCACTGATGTGGTAGTTTACGGTATTGATTTGGAGATTTACAGTGTCGATATGGTAGTCCACGATAGCTGATGATGCAACAGATGACATGGCATATAGGATAAATTAGGTTTTTAGTTTCGTTCGAGGGTAAAATTGATTTTTTAAAGTTCAAAGATTTATTTATTTTTTTTTTAAAAAGTAAAAGTTATTTTAAATTTAAATATAAAATTATTCAAATATTTTTAAAAAATTAAAGTAAAAATATTAAAAATAAAAATTAAATTACTAAAAAAATTGAGTATACATATTAAAGGTCCATTTGGTAAAGCTTTCTAAAATAAATTTAGCTAGAAAGCCCATTTTGAACGTAAAATTAATACCAAACGGGGTAAAAATAATTGCAATAGGAACGGTGGTTTCAAAATAATTACAAAATATAAGATTTCTAGCTTTTTCATTTTCAACTTTTCGTTTGGAATCAAATTATAATTTTACCCTTACTAATGCATAAGCTCCACTTAATTATGTATTTACATTTTATTTTAATAATTTAATATTAATTTCATTAAAAAATAATTTATTACTTTTAATAATTTATTTTAATTATTTAAAAATAAATAAAATTTATAATTTATATATCAAAATATTAATAGTGGGTTATATAAAATATGTTTTTATTATAATTATATTTTTTTTATTTTATTTTTATTTTTTTATATTTTGTTATATTTTAAATTGATATAATTCATATATAATAATATTTTTTTAATTTATTATAATTTAAATTGATATGATTCATATGTAGGTGTAAATATAATTTAAATGCTATATTTTAATTTACAATGTAATGTCTATAATGGACATTTTATCTTTTCAAACTCACTTTTTGATAACAATCTTAAATAATTAAATTTTAAAATACTTCTTTGTAAAACACTTTTAAAAGTTCGAGACTTTTAATTTTTTTGAATATATATCATATGTTATAAAATGATAACTTATAAATTATTAAAAATTTTTAAAAAGATATATATACATAATATATACATGTAATATATAGACATATCATCAACACTTATACAAAGTATTTTTTACTAAATTAATCGAGACTTACAAAATTTTAAATAAACAAGAATTACAAATTTGGAATTAGTCAAAACTTACTATGCTTTTTAATTATATTTTATGTCGAAACTTATCATATAATTATCTTTTAAATTAGTTGAGAATTACAAAAAGATAGTTAAAAAAATATAATAAGTTTCGATTAATCCAAAAATTTTAAGTCTCGACTAATTTAAATTTTATAATTCTCGATTAGTCCAGTAAGAATACTTTATATAAGTGTTGATGATATGCAAATATGTTATATGTAAATGTTATGTATAATATATCTTTCTAAAAGTAATTATTTATAAACCTATTATATATATATATATATATATAATTTTCTAAAAAAATTATAATAGTTTTAGTATTTTTTAATATTTATATTCAATTTTTTAGTAATTTAATTTTTATTTTTTATTTTTTATATTTACTTTTTTTGAATATTTGAATAAATTTATATTTGTAATTAGAAATAAATATTATTTTTATAAAATTAAATAAACCCTTGAACTTTTAAAAAAATCAATTTGGCCCTTGAACAAACCCAAAAACCCAATTTAATACATATGACATGTCATTAACCACTCTGGACTGCCACGTTATCACTATAGACCACCAAATTAATTTTGTTTTTTTATGTTAAAAAAACATATTGAAAGAAAAAAAATTATTAGAGTCATGTTATTTTTTTTGGCAACTTTTAAAGAACAAAATATCTAAAATTGTAGAATTAAGAACTTACTCGGTGCTTCATGCGGAGCTTTGGGGGACAAGCATCTTCTTCATGTCTATTCTTACTTTTCAGCTCAGTTAGTAGGGCACAAGGTTTTTAACCTTGAGGTTGTGGGATCGAGTCTCACGGAAGGTATTTCATAATTCGGAGGTCTTCTACGGAAGCTGTTCTTAATCTGATATTGGGGGCAGCTTACTATCTTACCTCCCTCTTATCTCATTACATATAGGAACGAGGTACAGTCATTTTTTTAATCAGATCCGCCTATGCTTTTAATTATTAATAATGGACAAAGTAAATACCAAAAATAGCATCTCCACAAATTATGATGTGACTGAAATTTTCCTTTTTTTTAATAAATCATGAAAACCTTCCTTCCTTTCTTTGAATAAATCTAAAACAATAGGGGTCCGCCCATACTTTAATTATTAAAATTGGACAAAGTAAATGCGACAAAATTAACATAATTGATAAAAGAACAAATTATTCTCTCTAAAATTTTAAATTCAAACAAATATGACTATAAAATATATACACATAGTCATAAATTAATTTTTTTAACAAATATTATCTTATACTCATTTTATATTATTCAAAAAAAAAATTCCAACGAAAAGGAGACCACAGGTAGCAAAAGGAGGCTTCCGTAGGCAATTATTTGGTATACATATATCAGTTACTATTATTTTGAAGTTTCGTCGGCATACAATTATAATTATTTTAGTTGATTTTTTAAATTTTACTATTTAAACATTTTTATTAATAAAAATGCATTTTAAAAATCTGCAATAAAATAAACTTTAAAATATATATTATAAAATTTCATTATTTAAAATAATTAGATTTAAGGATACTTTTGTCAGACTCAATTTATCATTCTTGCCCCTATAATATTTTGTTATCAATTTAATCCTTGAAATTGTTTATTAACTGCATCATTCTAAATATTATAACCTAAACCTATTTAACCCTTAAATCCTAAACTCTAACTTAAACTCTCGACAATAATAGATATTTTATACATTGATAAAATTAAAAAACTTCGAAAATCACATTAATTTAAAAATGTTATAAGAAGGAAAATGATAAATTAGATTAAAAAAAAACCTTTAAGTCAAATAATTATTATCAAATTTAAAAATACTTGACCTTTCAAAGAATTAATGGAAAATAATGTTAATGAGACGTAGAGACCACATAGACACTCTTTCCTTTTTTGTATAAATCTTATCTTCTTTCAATAAAACTTTCCACCATCAGTATTGATTACCGACTTTTCAAAACAGAGATATGGAAAGTGGAGCTGAAGTAGACATTTGGAATTATGTCTTTGGATATACAAAAATGGCCGTTGTTAAATGTGCTATTGAGCTTGGGGTTGCCGATGTTATTGAAAACCATGGAAGCCCCATGACACTGTCCGATTTAGCAGCCGTCCTCCGCTGCGAACCGTCGCGTCTCCACCGCATTATGAGGTTCCTTGTCCATTACCAAGTATTCAAACAAGAACCCACCGGCCAGCACTCCATGGGCTTCTCATTGACGCCACTGTCTCGCCTTCTGGTGAAACATGGAGAAAACACCATGGCGCCTTTTATACTGTTAGAGTCTAGTCCTATCATGTTAGGGCCATGGCACAGTCTCAGTGCTCGAGTCCTCGAGAGTGGGAATATTTCACCATTTGAAGCAGCAAACGGGATGGATCTATGGAGCTACACCGAGGCAAACCCTGGTCATAGCAAACTCTTGAACGATGCGATGGCTTGCGCTGCTAGACTGGCGACCCCGGCGATAATTGAAGGATGTCCAGAAGTGTTCGATGGTGTTGAAAGCTTGGTGGACGTTGGTGGAGGTAATGGGACTGCTTTGAGCCTTTTAGTTAAGCAATTCCCACGGATTCGAGGCATCAACTTCGATCTCCCTCATGTTGTTGCCGCTGCACCGAAATTCGAAGGTATCGAAAACGTAGGAGGCGACATGTTCGTGTCTATTCCACATGCCAACGCTGTGTTTTTAATGGTTAGACGCTTTTTACCCTTCATTTCATCAACGTATAACATGATTAATCTACATATGTTTTTCTGAATTGCAGTGGACTTTGCACGATTGGGACGATAAAGAATGCATTAGGATCCTAAAGAAATGTCGAGAAGCGATACCAGAAGACAAAGGAAAGGTCATAATTGCCGATGCAGTTCTCGAAGAAGATAATAAAGGCAACGAGTTAGAATTCGTAAGGTTGATGTTAGATATGGCGATGATGGCTTTTACTAATAAAGGGAGAGAGAGGACTCGAAAGGAATGGGACTATGTTCTTCGGGAGTCCGGATTTACTCGATTCAATGTTAAATCCATCCAAGCAGTTAAGTCTGTAATTGAAGCTTATCCTTAGAAAAATCTATTGCTCAATGCAATGCTTTATCAACCGCTAGAATAAAAGCTTGTTGTGTACGAAAGATTTCAATCCCAGCAGTTGTTTTTGCAGTGAAATATTGCATGTTTTAGTTTGTTATTACTTATCTATTGATATCAATACATTAATTTGTGATCTTTCAAAAAGATATCTTTACTCTTATAATAAAAATTTTATAAAAGTAATACAAGTTAACATATATTTTGAGATAACTACATGTTTATATAAAGGGTAAAGTATATAAATAGTACCTGAACTTTTAAGGCACTTGCATTTTAGTCATCTAACTTTTGAAACTTACAATAAAAACATCAAACTTTTAATTCGATTTCAATAAAGTCCTTTCCATTACCTCCGGTTAGTTTTTGCTGACGTTGCACTTAACTCCCGTTAACTCCTCATCCTCTCAAACAATTAATCAAGTTGTTGGTAATAGGGTTTGCCGCTATCAACCAGGAGCTGAAGATATTGATGGTCGAAAACACTCCTGACGATCCACGACAAAGGAAGCCAGACATATCCAAACCAAAGAGCTGCTCGGACTTCCATTTATGGAAGAAGATTTCCGGAGGAGGCTTGGGGTTCGGAGCAAGAACTGATTCAAGTTTATTGTACAGTCATTTTGTATCATTGGTTTCTGAACGACATTCTTTGGTTGATGGAAACACAAACTTTTTGAGTCTCTTTTATTAAACAGAAACATAATAAAGCAAGCAGCTGGAACAAATGCAAAATCCAATTAAGTTTCTAATGCAAAGAAATGAAAGGGGTGGAAGATTTTGAATGCTACTTCCGTGGAATAAATAATCTGTGTCTGCTATCTCCTGAGTCCTGACTTCTCTCATCATCTCAAAATGCACTGCAGCTAGAGTGTATATATCACCTCGTGTCTGTGGACAAACAGTTTCCAGTATTCGACGTGAAGTTTCAAGCACATCGAATTTCAAGGGGTTAATCAGATTGTAACTAATGGCATGGATTCCGAAGCTATGTGTTTGAAGAATGAATTATGAGGAAAACGAAAAGTTAAGGAAATGCATTTGTTGTTTATGAATCACAAATATCAAGCAAATGGGTATCTTCCAAATACTTTGACGTATTCAACTTCTGCTGCTCCAATTCAAGATCTTGAGGGTTTTTTGGAAGGTCAAGAATTTAGGCTTACAGAAATCTAGGATTCGACCTAAGAAAGTGATGTTCTATTGAATATATTTGAATATTTTTTTTATTTAATTTTTTTGAATATTTGAATAAATTTATATTTAATTATAAATAAATATTATTTTTATAAAATTAAATAAACCCGTGAACTTTTAACAAAATCAATTTAGCCCTTGAACAAAATCAAAAAACCAATTTAATGCATATGTCATGTCATCAACCATTGTGGACTGCCACGTCAGCACTATAGACCACCACATTAATTTTGTTTTTTAAGTTAAAAAACCATATGAAAGAAAAAAATATTAGAGTCGTGTTATTGTTTTTTGGCAAATCTTAAAAAACAAAATATCTAAAATTGTAGAATTAAGAACTTACTTGGTGCTTCATGCGGAGCTTTGGGGTCTGCTGGGCGGGCTGCATGTGGCTTTGAAACAGTGAGCTAACCGCCTCATGGTGGAAATGGGTAACACGAAAGCCATTAGACTGGTCATTCCCATAACAGAGCTGTCTCAGATATTTTCGATACTCTGAGTAAAAATTTAATAAAATATCGAGAGCTTTTTTATCTAACACGAGAGCTGTTGCGAAACAGTTGGACGATCAATTGATCAAGACTATAACAATTTTTTTTTTTAATTATTCTTAGAATTTTATCTAACTCGACAAGGAGTCCTTGTTCATAAAAAAATCTAAAACAATAGGGGTCCGCCCATACTTTAATTATTAAAATTGGACAAAGTAAATGCGACAAAATTAACTGTTACTTACGAGTTCATTGTTCATAAAAGAATCATTTTATTATTCTTGCTTTAAAAGTACTGTATTTGTCGTAACCGTCCTTCGAGTGTCTCGGAATCGGGTTCCGACTTCAATTTATGTGTGATGGAGCCGCCACCGATCATTTTAAATTAGGTTGATCGGATACCCTAACTTATCATTTATATGATGTACGCTTTACCATAAATTAATCGGATTCGAGAGTCGATTACAGTCAATGAATGATTAGCACCCTTGTACTGTCCTTTTGGTACCATTTACCTTTGACCAATTTAAAATTGCCCAAAAAAAGTCAAAAATGTTAAACAATAAAATAAAATAATAAAAAAATTAAATTACAAGAAAACAAAAATTAAAGAAGGATTAAATTGGAAATAATTTGAAATTAGGGGTCATATTGATGCTAAATGAAAGCTGCGAGGAAAAATAAAAAGTTAGGGGTCAATTTGTAAAATATAAGAAATATAATCATGGATTAAATTGAATTAATTTAAAATTCAAGGAAAAATTACAACAAGTGACCAGAATAAATTGCACATCAAAAATGCGGGGACTACAAAAATAATTAAACTATTTCATAATTGCACAATGACCTCCTTATAAATAACCCTTAAAACCCAAAAAAATAATTATATAATATATTTTCAAAAATTATATATTTTCAAAAACCATATATTATATATATATTTTTTGAAATTATTTTTTATATATTATATACTATATAAATACTGTAATAAAAAATCTTTGATGTCCCGGAAAAAAATGAGTTTCAGTAGTTTTCATCAAGTCCTTCATATCTATTCTTATTTTAGGAGGTATTAATCAGTTCCACAAGCATCTTCTTCATGTCTATTTTTATTTTAGGTAAATACCAAAAATAATATCTCTACAAATTATGATGTGACTGCTTTTTTTTAAAAGAAAAAATCATTACTTCTTCTATATATAGAAAGGAAAATTGTTTATCGACTCCATAAGAGTTGTAGAAGTTGATATCCATATATCAATCTTTAGGTTCATTCCATTAATAAGCCATGAAAACCTTCCTTCCCTTCTTTACATTTCTGTCCCTTCTCCTGGTAAGTTGACTTTGCAAACTTGATTAAACAAATGACAGTTTGGTATTAATAATATAATTTCTTTAGTATTTATACATATATATATATTGTTAATTTGTATGGTTAATCATACATGTTTTATATGAACGCAGTTTGCAGACACCATTGTAACAGATAGGAAAGACAGTGGAGAGTATTGGAGAGCTATTTTGAACCGAGACCGAGCACCACTTCTTATGGCCAGAAATCATTCACTAGTGATTTTAAACCGAGATCGAGTACCACATCTTATGGCGGCGATGATGTTGATCTTAAAGGAGTGAAGAAATCAATTACTAGTAAATTTGAACCGAGACCGAGCATCACGTTTTATGGTCAAAATCATTCACTATTGATTTTGAGCCGAGACCAAGCACCACTTCTTATGGTGGCAATGATGTTGATCTTAAAAGGAGTGAAGAAAACATTAACTAGTGAATTTGAACTGAGACCGAGCATCACATCTTATGGTAAGAAATCATTCACTAGTGATTTCAAACCGAGACCAAGCACCACTTCTTATGGAGGCGATGATGTTGATCTTAAAGGAGTGAAGAAAACTTTTCCTAGCAATTTTGAACCGAGACTGAGCATTTCTTATGGCCAAAAATCATTCACCGGTGATTTTGAACCCATACCGAGCATCACTTCTTATGGTAAGAAATCATTCACTAGTGATTTTGAACCGATACCGAGTATCACATCTTATGGTGGCAATGATGTTGTAAGAATACTCTCATGTGCTTTATAGAAAGCACATGAATGAGATGGTAATATAATTACAATATGATGCTTATGTGTGCTTAGAATGTCTATGCTATTGTAAAAGGTGTGTTTTCCTATGAAATGTTCTATGAATCCTATTATTAGCAGAAATTAAAATGGATTCTCAAATAATTTGGAAAAAAAATATCAAATTTGCTTTATGTAAATGTAAACATCGAATCGAACATAAAATATTTTATAACACTGACGCACTGAATGTTACAATGCAATATATACTGCATCGTAACATTTATTGTGCAAGTCTTGGGACTCAGGTTAACCGAGGTCTCGGAGCTCAAGTATCATCTAGTACAACCAAAGTATCATGACAAAGACACTTATTACAAATTCAATGATCTGGGACCAGAATAAAATTGTCTGCCGGGAAGAAATGGCAAACACCGGGCGTTCCGGGCTCGATCCCCAGCACACGGAACGACGCATGGTCGTGTTTCCATTGCGAAGTATCCATATGACAAACGGTCACTGCCTTCACCCGATCTCCGTTATCACCACCCAATAATACCTTGAACACTGTTTTCAGTCCCTTGGGTATGGCAATACAGTACAGCATAAGGGTAGGGCATCGTGTGACAAGCCATCATCCTCGAAGCCAGTATCTCATCCGGTTCTTTTAGTATCTCATCCGGTTCTTTTGGCAATACCTTCTTTTTTAGCATATCCTTTGACCACCAGTCTTGCACGATACTTCTCAACTTTTTGTCACCATTTCGCTTGATTTTAAAGAGCCCTTTTTTACCAATTGCCTTCCTTCCTTGTGGTAGTGACACAAGATCCCATGTATTATTTTTATGAAGGGCTTCAATTTCTTCTTGCATCGCCATCATCCACAGTGAAGTATCTTGTTATTGCCTCCTGGTATGTTGATGACTCACCGTCCTCTGTTAAAAGGTAGTATACAATATTACCTTCTATAACATAATCTGAGTGTCAATTGGGACGTCTTCTCACACGATCTGATTGACAAATTGTTGGAGCTTCAGAACTCTCTGGTTCTTGTTCATCATGTGTTGGTTCTGCTTCAGAAGAATCTCCTTGTTCAAGCTCCTTTTCTACATGTAACTGTGTAGTCTTTGACTTTTCAACGCTACCATCTTCTTCTTTTCTTTGTAGCTTATCTCCTACAAAGATAACATCCCTGCTAATGATCACTTTGCGGGCAATGTGATCCCATAAGTGATACCCCTTTACACCATCAGCATACCCCAAGAATTTGCATTTCCTGGATTTTGGATCTAGCTTTGAAAT